ATATTACTCGGTTACCCAAGGTTGCCGTTCGTTCTGCTCACGACCCGAGAGCATTATGCACGCGTATAGATGTATCAGCCACGCGCTCATAACTTAACTAAGTGTGCACCTATACGCGCGTAGTAAATCTGTCTACCCTGCGTACACAATGATATACGTGCATACTTAGGACAACGTTTCCCAACAGTTTCCTCTATCCTGTTAAATCGATTAATCGCGGCACGTGTCTGCAATTATCAATCGCCGTTTCGACGATAAAACGGAATGACCGAAGGTTACTCAATTTAGCGACTGATATAATAAAGCTAAAGTTAATCGTAGATGCTCGATGCCTGCTTGAACATCGACGGTCTAGACATTCAGCAAGTATTAATTAAGGATGTATTGGCTATACAGTCAATCCCAAAAGTTTATGCACTTTACAAACGCATTTTTTAAAATAAAATCAGACGTCGGAAGACCATTGCTAATAATAAACAACAACAACAAATTTTCGATTTTTCCGAGATTTTTCCAAGGGGTATCCCTTCAATTTCTTCCAAATTTTCGTTTTTTGCCAATAACTTCCAAACCGTTGGATATATGGGAAAATTGTATACGACTTTTCTTGTAGAGGACGACGAGATCTACAATTTCTGTATAAAAGTTTCTTGCTAGCGTTAATAATTAACGAGTAATTTGCAAAAAATTGTTTTTTCGTTTTTCGTCCATATCTCTTTAAATATTAATGCTCGCGACAACCTTTTATACAGAATCTGTAGATCTCGTCGTCCTCTACAAGAAAGGTTTCATGCAATTTTTCCGTAGGTCCAACGGTCTAGGAGTTATTGAAGAAAAACGAAATTTTTTGCCAAAAGTTCGCTGTTTCGACGCTGGGATGGTTGGATTTTGTCAACATCAATAAAATGCCAAATAATCATACGTTACTCGTTAAATATCGAAGTTAGAAGGAAAACAACTATTATTCGATGCATTTTTCGCAATTTTCGATTATCTAAAGAAAATAGACTATCGAATAAATATAAAAGCTTAATCGTAAATCAAATGAACAAAAATATGAATTCTAGATGAACACCTATACACATATGATAAATCTCTGCTCAGTCAGCTTATTAACGAAGATTTTTGTAGAGGGCAAGATGAGAGATCAGAACTTGAAGGTTTCATGAAACAGTTATATATTAAAGAAACAGAAAATAAATACGTACGTGAATATTGCACCTGACCGCGATTAGAAGATTGTGAGCAACGAAGAAAAGAGAGGAAGAGAATCGTACAATTCGGTAAAGAAAAATGTTTATGGTACAGCGGAAACTACTGGCGTATCCCCTACTCTGAACAGAATTCCAAGCGAATGGGACAGAGCTCGTGCGAAAGGCGGCTAAAGAAATGTCCAATCAAATGTTTCGTAAGAGCATCGTCGACGTATAACTACGGGGATGTCGCTGGCAGAGAAATCAAGATGGCATCCGAGGCTGGTAAAAGTATCGTGTCAAACGAACGGTGTTGTGATGTAAATAATACGATCGAGCGCGTGCACGACGATACAGAGACAGTCGCGAGCGTCGTGCCGGTAACGAGGACGACGTCGTGGAACGGTGTCGTCAAACGAGGAAACGAATTCGCGGAGGATTCGGTCAGGACGCCTACGATAGTTCCGACAGCGTCGTCAACGTTCGATGCGAATTCTGAGGGGAACAAGGAGTCGCGGGGCAACGTGGTGGCGGATTTCGTGAAGCCCGCCGGTGATGTTCGCCACGGGATTCCTGTCACCGCGAAGTCCTCGGATCAATCACGAACCATGTCCGATCAAAGGAACGATCTGGATGGTGTTGACCATTTCGCAGAACAATCCGATGGTAATTATTCATTCTACATATTTCAACTTTTTAGTTATACGAGATCCGTCATTTGTTTCATCAGTCTGATCGAAAGACAGAAGCTCGTGATTACATACTATTTCTATGTTGATACCCATCGGGCATTGTTTATATTATACAGCAATATTGTATATGGTAACAATTATAGATAAAAATGAATAATTTACATTGGAGAACGTTTGATATTAAACTTACGTACGACTAGAAGAACGTGTTTTAACAATTATATGTGCCATTGAAAGGGACACTTTAATTGTATACTAAATATTTCAAGAATTTAACAAAGTATATGTTCAACGTTAGATGGAATAAGATACGTCGTAAGATTTTTGCATGGGCAAAAATTCATTGAACAAAAATTACATTTATATTCTTCACATTTTATATTATAGGAAATCCAGATAAATGCAACAATGAAGTAGCGAAACCTCCGATAGAACAGCATGTCATTCATGTACGTATATGAAAAAGGTTAAGGTTAGCCATTTCTAGTTGCATCAAAGCATTAACTAACGATTTCATTTCTTACTCTTTCCGAGTCTATCTATTTATTCCTTTGCTATTAGGCCGAGCCAGGATACAACAAGGATGCAGCGATCGTATCTGGAGGGCTTCACGCGAATGGATTGCCGACGAAACTTGAGGGATGCGTGAGTTTCGAGCATGGAAACACGCCGCAGCTGGGCGAGAGCCCTCAGAGCAGCGGCGAGGTGATCAGCAGTCCCAGAAGTCCGGACTATCCACCGAGAGTCTCCGACGGTCCGAATAGTCCCAGCACGACTCTAGCCAGTGGCATGACGTCGTCCTCGACTATAGCTATGGACACGGCGAAATACGAAACAGAGGATTCAAACAATATAGCAGTGGCTAAAGTGAAGAAGAACTTGTCGTATGCATTTTGCGGGCAGTTGGAGCAGCCGAAAGAGCAAATTCATGTCCCCATACGAATGAACACGAATGACAATGATACTAAGATAGAGACGAAAATCGACGTGATTAACGTGAAACCCGAACCCGTTGAAATAAAAGCAGAATTGCCAGATTGCCAAGAGCAAATGGACGTAACCAAATCTGAATTTGATAACGACAAATCTACGATAGTCAAGCAAACTATGGACAGTACAGAAATTTTGTCTCAAACAACAAATTGCCCTGCGTCGTCGACTTCTCAATCGAAATCGTGCTCCTCCTCTTCCACCGCTGCGAGAGAGAAACGGAACAAGGAGCACAGCGAGCGACGCTACTGTTCCCGCTGCTATAAACGCAGCAAGATAAAACGCGCCAACATCGGTGTTCAATGCAAACGGGATCGTACCAGTAGTACGAGTATACTTCCTCTCAACACGAAACCAATCCCGTTCTCGAAGTCGACCAATGAGAATCTCAGGCTAAATCTACAGATGAAGAATTACAAAATGCTGCAGAGCGCGCCGGTGAAGAGCGATCTTCTGGACGGCCTAAAATATAAAAAATTCATTCACATAGAGACTTACCCCAACGGTGGTGCCACCGTGGTCCACATGTACCAAGACGAGATCGACGCGTTGTCGCGTGAGCAAGTCGAGGAACTGGCCCAGGAATACTTTAAAGTAGTTTTCGGCGAGGACGAGAATGGTAACGCTCACCACGTTATGGGAATAGTTCACAATGCCGCGGCGTACCTGCCGGATCTTCTGGATTACATGGCCGACAGTTATCCAACGTTGACCGTTAAGAACGGAGTCTTAGGACGTAACAGCGATATAGAAACGACGACTATGGTTCAATACAAGGAGCAAGTGTGCAAGGCATATAGCAACGGCACCGTCAGATACGGCCCTCTTCATCAGATAAGTCTGGTGGGCACCGTTCACGAAGAAGTAGGTGGATACTTCCCCGACCTCTTACAGAAACTAGAGGAGAACCCGTTTTTAAAACTGACCATGCCTTGGGGTCCGTTGTCCGTCGTGAAGATGGACACGCCTCAAGAATCCAACGACGGTCCTATCTTGTGGATCAGACCAGGAGAACAATTAGTTCCCACAGCGGATATAAATAAAAGCCCTTATAAAAGACGCAGGACAGGTATTAATGAGCTTCGCAATCTTCAGTATTTGCCTCGACTGAGCGAGGCCAGGGAGTACATGTTCGAGGATCGGACGAAGGCCCACGCGGACCACGTGGGTCACGGTTTGGATCGGATGACCACGGCCGCTGTAGGTATATTGAAGGCCGTGCACGGTGGTCAACGATCTGAATTCAACAGGATTACGAAGGACGTAGTCGCGTTTTACGCGGGCGACTTCCCGGAGCTGGTCGAGAAGTTGCAGTTGGACCTGCACGAGCCGCCTATCTCGCAGTGCGTACAGTGGGTCGAGGACGCGAAGTTGAACCAGCTGCGTAGACAGGGTATACGTTACGCCAGGATCAATCTTTACGACAACGACATATACTTTTTGCCCCGAAATATAATCCATCAATTTCGAACGGTGTCTGCGGTGGCCAGCATAGCCTGGCACGTCAGGTTGAGACAGTATTACCAGGAATCGCAGCACAATTCGAGCGTGAGACATTCTAGGGTCGGCGGCGATCATCGCATCAAGGAGAAGAAATCTTTGGGAGCAGTGACCAGCGGCGAAGAACAGAAGGAGAACACGAATAGGCAGCGGGTGGACCAGAAACATTCGATAGACTCGTTGGAAGAGAAGAAAGCGAAGGAACGAGCTGCTGAGTATCAGGGAAATCTGAAGAAGTCCGATCACCATGGTAAAAGAAAAGAAGACCGTAAGAGAAATCACTCGAGGCATACTTCCATCTCTGGTAAGAGGAAAAAATCTTCCGAGAAAAAAGATAACCGCGATCACTTTAGCAAATCTATGGAAACTAAAACAACCGAACAAAAACAGGGCAGCGATAAGAGAGAACAGGAGAGGTCGCAGGAGAGGAGACACGATCGTCGGAGGTCCAACGAGAAATCTAGCCATCATTCTCACAGCAGTAATAGCAGCACCAGCAGCAGCAGTAACAGTCACCGCACAGAGAAAAAGAAGTACGATTGCTCTGGCCACAAGCTAGATCATCATCGTAGCCACCATAGATCCTCTGGCAGTAAAGAAAACGTTTCGAGTGAATCGAAGACTAGTACGCCTTTGTCTAAGGAGAGTAAACGACGATTGTCGGTGAACGAAAACGACGATTGCGATAACATAGTTCTGGACCAGGAGGTGTTAACGCAGCGACAATTCGTCGCGAAAACGTACGCGACGGAGGTCGTCGACAAAGCTCTAGAGATCGCGATATACAAATCTAAAACGGATGTGGAAGAGGTCTGTCAGTCATTGCGAACCGGTGTCTCGGAAGCGTCCAAAGAAATGTTGGAGAGGATTCATAAAGAAAGTTTTGAAATCGCGAAGCAAAAATACAAAGAGGACACGGCAAAAGTGGATAGATATCGCCAGTTGTTGGAGACGGAGACCACGTTGGCGTTCACGTCGAAAATGGAGTGCGCCACGGAGAATGCGGTGAAGGCGTTGATCGAGATGGCCGAGGACGAAGCTAAGGAAAGATCCAAAAAGGAAGATGTTGTAACTAGTGGCAGCTGCGAGGAGACTGTAGAACCGACTAAGATCGCCAATTCTTCCTCCTGTTCCTCGATAATGTCCACGTCTCCTTTGATAGAAACGGAAGGGCATAATCATAGCAACAGGAATAGCGGTAGCAGCGATGAGAACGTCTCGAAATCGTCGGAATCTGAATCGCGTTCAACAGACTCAAAGAGAAGGGAGACTAAAAATAGGGAAGAGAAGAGTTCCAGGAGCGACCGGCATAAAGATAGCAGAAGAGATCGAGATAGGAGCGATAGAGATCACAAGAGACATCATCATCGGAGTCCTCAGAGTAACAAATCTGAGAAAACCAGAGGATCTAGTACGAAAGAGGATTCCCAGAAACATAGTAGTACAGACAGCAAGGATGTTGAGAGGAAATCGGAAAAAAGAAGAGACAGCCATCACAGTCATGCGAGGGATCAGAAAAAATCGAGTTCTTCCAGTGGAAGTCGTTCCTCGAAGGAGGAAACCGCGTCGAGCCGGTCTCACTCGTCCAGCGCTAATCACAAGAGAAAGTCGAGCTCTTCGGAGGAACGCAAGGATGCAAAGAAACCGTGCGTCGAAAGGAGAGATCTCGTTGCCACGATGGAACAGGATAAGACTCTAGATACCTCGTTAACTACTTTGTTAACGGTGACGACGACGGTGGCACAGTCAACGACAACAACTACAACGACGAGCACGATCGTCACAACGTGAAAAGGTGAAAGTTTTAGATCGTAGTACAATCTCGATTAGACGAAGTCCTACGCAATTCTATTGCGGGGACTCTAACTGATTTTGGTTTAGGAAATTCACAATTATGTACAGTATATCCTGATTCAGGCTTAAGCTCTTCCTATTGAACAGAGGAATTTTTTTAATAGTCACTTGCGATGAAAATCGTGCAGTTGGCCACAAAAGTATCTGGTATCAGTTTAGGCACAGAGTTATAAACAAACGTGAAATTAGAGTTTCAGTAGGCGTAAAAATTTTAATTAGATTCTTTTAAATCGTACAATATTAATATGAAATTACAAATCTATTACTTATTTATAATTTTACTTATATCCCGCTTGATATTTTACGATCAAAATTTTGTGGGACCGACTGTATACATATATAGAATAACATTTTACTTTTAGTTCGATAAAAATCTTTTCTAAATGTACTCGCGATACGTCTTTTAAAAGATCAGGTATTTTTCTAAACTTCTAAAATTCTTTAAATGGATCTCTACAAAAGGATTCGAATAAGATCGTTCTCGCGACATTCAAAATCACTCATAAATCATACATCCAAATCAAGTTATGATTTCAATTGAACGAAGTAAAGAATTCCGACTGAAAGCAAATCACGATTAAGTTTAGATCTACAATATGGAATTTGAATGTTATTCTAAAAATCATGTATAAGATTATTTTGCTATAAGATGCAGAAACATAAACAGAAGGAAGGAATTAAGAAAAAGTTTGTAGAGACTGTACGAATAAGACATGGTGTACAAAAAAAACGAGGTTTGTACAAAATTCGTGTTTAGATAATCGCGCGAGTTAGAGGTGCTCTAACGCTTGTAAATAGATTAACAAACGAATACGCAATCGTCGCAGGGGGGTCTTGTATAAACGAGTATACATATGTACATATAGAAATTATGTATGTACGGACATTGACGGTTGGAAGTATTGGTACGGATCAATCATATGAGAATTTATGTAGATCCCGAGGACGCGTATAATTTTGTTACAAACTGAAACGTGTCAAGGATTAACTTTTATATCGACGATCATAAAAGGAAACGATAAAACATAATTTAGTTGGCTTTTAATGAAAGAAAAGTGCTAACGTGAGAATAAGACGTACGAGAAGAGAGAAGGATTGTAAATAATAAATTGCATCTGTTCAAGTGAACATAGATTTTATACGATATAACTATTACCAATACTTTTGTTCGTTATTGTGCGTATCTGGGATTAAGTGGTATGACTAGATGCATTTGTAAAATTTTGTATAACACACACTCCACTTGTGTGTATACAAGAAGAAACATACACGTGTGAATGTATATGAATCTGTATAATGTAATGTACATACAAACAATTTGAAAGAGAAAAGTATATATGATAAATGTAAATTATTTATCACTGTTTTATTTGAAAACGATTCTCCATGTGACTCGAAGATTTTTATTTTGCAAAATCCCCTATTTTTGTTTCTGCATTTGTTCAAAAGAAAATCTTCTCTACATGGAAATTATCATATTTTCAACTTAATTTAAAACAATAAAGAACAGAGAAATGCTATATATATATAATGTACTGATTACAGCATATATAGAAGAGATAAAGAAATGTTGTGTACATTAAAGAAATAAAGTAACGCGACTACGATGACAGAAAAGTTTAATTCAAGTCTAAATCGACATCGATTGTTAGATGAAGCTATTATGTATATGTACTAGTATTTTATATATTTAAACAAATTTTATTTATATTACAAATGACGAGGATACAAAAAGGGCAAGAGAAAAAGTTTTCGATAACGATGCTGACGGATGTATATACGTACACTTAATCGTTGTGTCGCGTACGAATAGTGATTAATTAATAATTAATTAGTTTAATTAGCGATTACACGAATACAGCGAATGCGCTCGGTTAGATTTATGGATATAAGTACCTACATAAAAAAGGAAGAAGTGTAGATTTGTGCATACAGAACCGCTAAAGTACGTATTTAAAAAAAAAAGGTAGAAACTGTTGTAAGTTAACAATATTCGCATATAAGTTAATATATTCTGTTCTATAAAAAAAAAAGAGATAATCGTAATCGACTTATTCAATATATGATATTTTTATTTAAATAAGTCCAGAATTGTATTAGGTATCTTAATTTATCTGCACTTATTACAAGCCGTATGTATTTATTTGCTGGTAATCGGAATCATTTTTAATTGTAATGAAAGTTTGAAGTTGTAGGATAAAGAAAAGGTTATTTTCAAGTCTGAGTACGATATGTAGAATAGTATTTTCTTTTATTTTCTACGTTTACTGAAGATTCGGTTTGTTTTACTTCTAACTCTTGACCGTTTTACTTATAATTCTCATAACACCCCGGCATTGATTTTCAAAAGGTTTCACTTAAATAATTGTTAAGTATATCATAAGTATTTTGACCTCTGCTTTCACCCGCAAGCTTTAAGTCTTTTAATAAAAATAGAAAAATAAAACACACATACACACACAATATTATACGATATATTTTATAAAACGTGGTTTATATAAAAATATAATAAAATCTTCATCAAAGATTCTCAAGCGATTCCTTTTTCAATCAAACAATACATATCAGGTTTCTAAACGAAATCTATTTATTGAAATTCTAAACTTCTTCCTGAGGCAACTATTATTTAAATTATAAAATAATTGGGTACTTTCTCATTTCCTTCGTTTTCACATTTCTTCATTTTAAATAAATCGCGGATATTCATTTATTTATTGTGGTAAGAATTGTGAACAAACAACTGAATTTGAAAAGATGCTACAAAAATATTGTTTTGTAATCGTTTATTGACAAAAATAAAAAAAACACTTCGGATTATAATGACGTAAATTATGATAATTATAACAAGTATCTGTTTACAGAAATAGCACGATCGTCTTTTATTTAGACGAACACTAGTTTTCTTAAATGATCATAAAAAAGGAAAATTAATCGTCAGTGTCTCGAATCACAGATTAGAGGTTAGTAGAGTACGATTTAAGACATTTTTTATGCATTTTGAATAGTGATTATAGATATTAGATCAACTAACGGACCATATTTCAAAAAGATAGTAGTATGTTTTACTGACTCACTTTCCCAATTTTTTTGAACCAGGGAACGAAAACTGTTCCGAAAAAACATCAAGAAACTGAAAACTATTTTACTTATTTTAAATTTGTGTAGGATGCCTGAATTCATATTAACTAAAGGACAGGAAGAATGTGAATAGGAGGAAGGAATTGAAATCTTGAATTTTTCACTTCAGAAACATAATTATTATTTGCTAAACGGAAAAAAAGATTGTTTAAAACATCGTCAGACGTTTATTGTAAAGTACGCAAAAAATAAATAAACATTAGTGTATGTTTAAACATAATGGAAAAATATTATACTAGACTTTGGAAAAAGATTGAAAGCGAAAAATACATACAATTATTAAATTGCTCGTTTTACAAACTTTGGTCCATCNGATTTAATTAATTATCGTACTACAATAAATGCAAGGAGATATATTAAAATTCACTGAAATAAATTAGCGCCTGGCTATTTCAATCCTTATCGACTTAAGGAGTACGTTTAAACGTTAGTGAATCCTTTGTCTAGAATTTTGCGTAGAGTTCACGGAATTATGTAACGGCGCATAATCTAAAGAATTGTCAGAGATGTCCTCGCTGCTGCTGCTACGAATATCACCTTCCATCTGAAATTCAAATTAGACATGTATGAATCTTACAGCCACGTAATCTCGAGATGACCACTTTTATAAAGATGTATACTTACTTGACCAGCGTAAAAAGCGTTGTACGCGATTTTTAAGATTAAGTAGGTCCAGATCATGTGAAGTATTAATAGTAAAATTAATAAGAAATTGAAAATATAGTAAGCTGGGAACATCGGTACTATTTTAGGTGCCTCTATCGACGTGCTGCAATAATTAAGATTATGATTCATATAACTTCTTCTACTTTAAAACTGTTTTAATTCATATAATTTAGTTTTTCATTTAATAAGTACCTGTGAATTATCCAGAATGGATAGACACCGATGCGAGTAATAATCCACAGTACAGTAAAAATAACGAATATACAATCACATACTTTCTGGTAATTAGCGTATTTAGCCATTTTGGCAGCCTGCAAGAAGAATTAATAAGTACGAACGAATGAATATTATACACGGAAACTTATACATCTGGTGGTCGTATGTACTTACTTCTAGAAAAATATCAGCACAATCGTGCACTAACAACACCAAAGTACCGATTCTGGTAAGATTGCCCACCCAAGAGAAGCACATTAATACTATCGTGGCTATGTGATGAATGAACATCTGCCAGAAATCCTTTCTCTTAACGTCAAAGAACTGTGAGAAACTAAGCGACCAGTAGAACGCCATGGATATCATATAATACCACCAAACATCGTTCGATACAGGGTGATAAGGATAGTTATAGTAACAATGTTTGATGTCCCACAACCAGGGCTTGTTCCACAAGATGATCAACCCATAGATGAAGGAATAGGTGTAGTACAAACATCTCCAGCTGAAACAGATTCCCAGATTTCCATTTTTATTCTTATTCAATGAAGTCCGATTAAATGGACAAGTTATAAAGGGATCATACCTGTTCTCGCAGAACTTAGTGAGCGTCGACGGCTTGTCCTGAGCTCTTCTCAATCGCAACCACCTTTCAACTTGACGTTCGGACCAATCTAATTGCTTAGCCAGCGCCAGAATCTTAAAATATATTCCACATATTATAAAATATTCATTAAACTTTCTATCATTTCTCAGTTTACTTTAATCTTAAAATCTGTGTTCTGAGAACCTAATATTAAAAAGATCGATTTAGATCTTTTATGGACTCCTTAAGCGAGGTGTTACAATG